GCCCACCTCTTCAAGCAATATGATGACCCCATAGATCCACAGAGGCATGATCACCAGCTAGCTCCGGGTCTCAACCTTCCTGTAATGTGAAGATAGTAACATCCACCCACTGAGCTGTTAGTTTTATCCCTGGGTTCCTGCTGCTGACTGGGTGCTTTGCAAGGTCAAGGATTTGGCTCATCTCTGGGAGAGTACCCAGTACAGGTGGGACAAGGGCATTAGGCGATCACTCAGTATCCTGTTCTCTTTCCAGCTATGCTGTTGAGCGGAAGATTGAACCTTTCTACAAGGGTGGGAAAGCACAGGTAACTATCCCCAGGGCCAGTTAGAGGGTAAAGAGGTGTAGGAAGTACTGAGTGGTTCCTTGGCTGAGACCCCTTTATCCCTAGCTGGACCAGACTGGCCATTACCTCTTTTGTGTCTGTGGTACCAAAGTCAACATCCTAGACGTGGCCTCTGGGGCTTTGCTTCGGAGCCTGGAGCAGGTAAGGATGGGCTGGACAGATGTGAGGGACTTGAAGGGAGGGTAGCATTTTCTTACAGTGCTCTGAATTCCCACTCTCCCCTTAGGAGGACCAAGAGGACATCACTGCCTTTGACCTCAGTCCCGATGATGAAGTATGATGGGTGGGGTGGCGGGGAAGCTCCCTTCCATATCGAATTGGCAAACATGTCTTACCTCCCGGCTGTGTTATCCCACACTTTCCCCCAGGTACTGGTAACAGCCAGCCGGGCACTGCTGCTGGCTCAGTGGGCCTGGCGAGAAGGCACTGTCACTCGTCTGTGGAAGGCGATACACACGGCTCCTGTGGCCTCCATGGCCTTTGACGCCACCTCTACACTGTTAGCCACAGGTAGGACCCCAGCTGGGTGGGTGTGCTGGAGGGTACAAGGCACGAGGTCCACCCTTATCTCAGACATATCCCCACAGGTGGCTGTGATGGGGCTATACGGGTCTGGGACATTGTGCAGCACTATGGGACACACCACCTTCGAGGCTCACCCGGTGTCGTTCAGTGAGTGGGGTAGTGGAGGAGAGGCGGGTAGAGGTACCACCCCGGGAAGTACAGCTGATTTGTCTCTGCTTTTCTTCAGTTTGGTGGCCTTCCATCCAGACCCCACTCGCCTGCTGCTCTTCTCCTCGGCCGTGGACACCTCTGTCCGTGTGTGGTCGCTGCAGGACCGCTCCTGTCTGGCTGTACTGGCTGCACACTACAGTGCTGTTACTTCCCTGTCCTTCAGTGAGGATGGCCATACCATGCTCAGGTTGGCTCAGGCTGACCACACGGGGCTTGGGTGGAAGGGGAGACCAAGGCTGAGACTGGAACTGAGGGAGCTGTTTCTCCTCAGCTCTGGCCGTGATAAGATCTGCATAGTCTGGGACCTTCAGAGCTACCAGGCCTCGAGGACAGTGCCAGTGTTTGAGGTATGGCCCTGCAGGCCAGGGCCAGTGAATGGGGCAGGAATGGGAGGCATGGCTGTATAGGCTCTGACCCTGTTCATCCACAGAGCGTGGAAACTGCTGTACTGTTGCCTGAGGAGCCGGCACCTGCACTGGGTGTGAAGAATTCAGGCCTGCACTTCTTAACAGCTGGTGACCAAGGTGTGGGGAGGCTGGCCACACGTGGACCAGGGAGCTGGGTGAAGCCTGTGGACCTCATCCCCCAACAGCCCTTGTCCTGATACAGGGATCCTCCGTGTGTGGGAGGCAGCTTCTGGACAGTGTGTGTACACCCAGCCACAAATGCCAGGCCAAGGGCAGGAACTGACGCACTGTACCCTGGCCCGCACTGCTGGTCTGCTCCTCACTGTCACCGCTGATCACAACCTGCTGCTCTACGAGGCACATTCCTTACAGCTACAGAAACAGGTAAGCACTTGTTACTGCCCAGTGCAGGACTTGGACATTAGGCTTTCTGTCTTACAGCCCCTCACTCGTGACCATCCTGCCTCCCACAGTTTGCTGGCTATAGCGAGGAAGTGTTGGATGTTCGATTCCTTGGGCCCAATGACTCCCACATTGTTGTGGCTTCCAACAGCCCTTGCCTGAAAGTGTTTGAGCTGCAGACTTTGGCCTGTCAGATCCTCCACGGTCACACAGGCAGGTCAAGCCCTCTGACACCCCTGGCGCCTTAGCTTGGATTTGACAGCTTCCCTTCCCTGCCTCCTTTGGATCCTCGATCTCTGTCTGACCACTCTTCCTCTCCCTCCCAGACATTGTCCTGGCCCTGGATGTGTTCCAGAAGGGGTGGCTCTTTGCCAGCTGTGCCAAGGTGAGACCCCATAAGAGGTATGAAGGCACAGGCCCCCAAGTGAAAACAAAGGCAACAGAACCATGACCCATCATCTCTCTTCAACCCCTCCTGTCCGCAGGATCAGAGCATACGCGTCTGGAGGATGAACAAGGCTGGCCAGGTGGCCTGTGTAGCTCAGGGCTCCGGACACACACACAGCGTGGGCACCATCTGCTGTTCCAGGTAGTGGATCAGGACTGGACCCGGGGGTATCCAAGGAGGTAGAGGCCCGAGTCATTGGTTTCTAGCACAGTGTGGAGAATGAAGGTGCTGGTTTGGCCACACTGTGAGGCTATAACAAGGACGTGGAGCAGAGAAGAGGCCCAGGGAGACTCAGGTGCCATGGCAGATTTCTTGGAAGTGGCCTTGGAAGGTGGACAAGATAGGAAGGACTTGAGACAGACAAAATGACACTGAACAGGGTCCTGCTGTGTGTGGTGGCTCTGAGGGTAGGTAGTGCAGACAGAGGCATTTGGGGGTGATGTAGGCCAGTCCACGTCCTGAGATGGTCCTTCTGGTCCCGATCCTGGTGCAGAAGGCTAGAGCTTGCTGCACTGCAGACAGTGTCCTTGGGCCTGAGCAGTGTTTCCCTTTTTCTTGTTGACTACAGGCTAAAAGAAGCTTTCCTGGTGACAGGCAGTCAGGACTGTACTGTGAAGCTATGGCCCCTCCCTGAAGCCCTGTTGTCCAAGAACACAGCTGGGGACAGTGGCCCCGTGCCTCTACAGGCCCAGACCACTCAGCGCTGCCATGACAAAGTAGCCACACATGGCCTCTGGGATGGGGTGTGACTGCGCCCTAGAATGGGGTGAGTATCTAAGTTTCGTCACCTGCTCTCGTCACCAGGACATCAACAGTTTGGCTGTCTCCCCCAATGACAAGCTGTTAGCCACGGGCTCACAGGACCGCACAGCTAAGCTCTGGGCCTTGCCCCAGTGCCAACTGTTGGGTGTTTTTTCAGGCCACCGACGTGGCCTCTGGAATGTCCAGTTCTCACCCATGGACCAGGTGCTGGCCACAGCCTCTGCTGATGGCACCGTCAAGCTCTGGGCACTGCAAGACTTCAGCTGTCTCAAGGTAAGTACTTCCCTCGTCCCATCCCCTCTCCGGTAACACTTCAGACCCGTAAGACTTGGTTCCCCCTCTCTCTCCCCTGCAGACATTTGAGGGACATGATGCTTCTGTGCTGAAGGTGGCCTTTGTGAGCCGTGGCTCACAGCTGCTGTCTAGGTGAATGGGCTAGGAGAGGGCTGGGGGTGGATAGTGGGGGTCATTCCCCTACACTGAGTCCTTCCATTCTCAACCTCAGTGGTTCTGACGGGCTTCTGAAGCTGTGGACCATTAAGAGCAACGAGTGTGTGCGGACACTGGATGCTCACGAGGACAAGGTCTGGGGACTACACTGTAGCGGACTGGATGACCGTGCCGTCACCGGTGGCAGTGACTCCCGAATCATTCTCTGGAAGGTTGTGGACCCTAAGGGGTGGGATGAGGCAGCGCAGGGGACAGCACTGGGGCTTGTCTGATCCTGATTTGATCCTAGGATGTGACGGAGGCCGAGCAGGCAGAAGAGCAGGCCAAACGAGAAGAGCAGGTGATCAGGTAAGTCTGGGCTCAGGAGGACCCGCTGCATACCCTCAGCAGACCTCTCACCCTTGCATGTCTCCACCACTAGCACCTCCTGGATCCCCTAAGCAGCAGTAGCTCCTGTATGTCCCCTGCTGTGAGGCATAGGAAACAGGTTGAGGTAGGGCTCACGCCTGTGCGTGTTTACGCCCAGCCAGGGTCTCTGATTGACAATGTCTTTTCCTCTATCCCACCAGACAGCAAGAACTAGACAACCTGCTCCATGAGAAGCGGTATCTCCGGGCACTAGGACTTGCCATCTCCCTGGATCGTCCCCACACTGTACTGACTGTTATCCAGGGTCAGCACCTGCCCCAGGAGCAGGCTGGGGTTGGGGGAGGCTCCGGGGATCAGCAGACCCTTTAAGCTGACTTCCCTCCCACAGCCATCCGGAGGGATCCTGAGGCCTGTGAGAAGCTGGAAGGCACTGTGCTCCGGTTACGACGAGACCAGAAAGGTTGTGGACAGGGTGGAAGGGACCAGTCTGGGGAGGGGGGTGGCCTGGTGGGCAGAACACGGAATGGCCAACAAGCAGGGTGACCATCCCTATACCTCCAGAGGCCCTGCTGCGCTTCTGTGTCACGTGGAACACCAACTCCAGACATTGCCACGAAGCCCAGGCTGTGCTGGGTGTGCTGTTGCGGCATGAGGCCCCCGAGGAACTACTGGCCTACGAGGGTGTGCGGGGTACACTGGAGGCGCTGTTGCCCTATACGGGTATGTGACATGGCCCTGGGTCCAGGGAAGTCCCCGGTGGGTTCACAGACAACCCCCTCCTCCCTGCCCTAACGCCCTCTGTCTTCCTCTAGAGCGGCACTTCCAGCGGCTTAGCCGGACACTACAAGCAGCTACCTTCTTGGACTTCCTATGGCACAACATGAAGCTGTCCCCACTCCCTGCTGCTCCCCCAGCCCTGTGAGACACATAAAAGTTGCACTTTTCTATCTTGGCTTCTCAGATGAATCTGACTAATCTCCCCCAAAATCCTTGGCCATACTTGGCCCGCCGAGATTTCAACTGTAGAAGTTCAAGCCCACCCCTACCCCAGCCTGAAGTCCCTCAGGACACAATGAGATTGGGTGAAGTCATTCCACTTTTATTTAGAGGAAATGGGAAGTTGCTGCCCCTTGACCCTGTCAGCCATCCAGCCCCACCCTATCCTGCTCCCTTGGCAGGTCTGGTTCCCTACTTTGCCTGTGGTTGGGATTGACAATACAATCTCTCTGCAGGGCTGCACAAATCCTCAGGGGGGACCCTGGGGCTCTTTTCCTGTCCCAGTGCCATGCGGGTGACGGTGCAGCATCGGCTCTGGATGGCGCTCCGACAGGGCCGAGTTGGCACTACAGGGGGAGCAGTCCTGCCCTTGGCCACCTTGACTTCCCTTCCACCGGCTGGGGGCCCTGGCCTGCCCAGGAGGGAGCCCAGCCCTTCGGGCTGCAGCAGCACTGCTGGGAACAGGCCTACCCGGCCACTGTACCTGCAAGGAAGGCGGGGCCTGATGAAGGGTTTTCCTGATGCTATGTGCCCCTTCTGCCAGGCAGCACCTGCCACTCCACCACACCACCACCACACACACACACACACACACACACACACACACAACACACACACATACACACAACACACACACACACACACACACACACACACACACACACACACACACACACGCTCACCTGCACAGCCACCAGCCTCGGTCGGAGGTTTCCAGCACACACACACGTGCCCCTGCAGGCACTGATAGCTCATCGGTGTGACTGCCCTCATAGGCCTGGGTAGCACAGAACTGCGTCCCTAGGGTAGGTATTTGGGGGTCACTGTAGAACTGCAAGACTGGACTCCTTACCTTGCTCTGGGCTCACCTCTAGACACTCCAGACTGCTCCGAACCCCACTTGAGCCTTCTTGCTGTAAGCAGCACCCACATGCATGGTGCCCCACTAACTATCCCCTCCCTCCTGGGCTTGGTCTCAGCCTTGCCACAAGGTCCATTTCTTAGTGGTGAGGGATGGGCTCATACCACTGCCTTGCAAAGCCAGGCCTGACTCCTGGGCCTGGCCTGGGGCTACCTCCTCCAGGTAGGGAGCTGGAAACCAGGCTGTCTGCTGATCCTTGTTCTCCACCAGCCACCAACCTGATCAAGAGGCAGGGAAAGGGCTCAGATGCCAAGACCTGCACCCATCTTGATCAGAGAGCAAGTGTTTTTTTTGGTTTTGTGTTTGGAACCCACTTTGTAGACCAGGCTAGCTTCGAACTCACAGAGATCTGCCTGCCTATGTCTCCTGAGTGCTGGGGTTAAAGGTGTGTGCCACCACTGCCCAGTTGTTCCCAGGTTTTTAATACTGTGGTCCTACCTGAAGGATGTCGTAGTAATACGTCCAGAATTTCTTGAGCCTGTGTGTGGAAAGGTCTGTCTCTTGTGTCACGGGTATAAAAAGGCTGTAAACAGCGCATGCTCTGAGCCTCCAGGCTATGAATGGCAAGACTGCTTGCAGGTTGGGATAAGGGCTCCTCTGGTGTGGGCAGGATCACCAGGCTGGGCAGGGCAGCCAACACATGTGAGAAATGAATAGGAAGGATGGGAATACCCCTTTCCCCACCTATACATATAGGTCAGCCTAGCCTTCGCCTCTGCCCTTCCCAAGTGCATGGTCTAGGAGTAGGGTATAAGTCACCTGCCAGGAGGCAGTGTGGGCTCCAGATCCAGAGGTTTGGGTGCAAAGAAGTCATTGAGTGCTGCGCTCCTCAATACTCGCTCTGAGCTTGCCAGCAGTTCCTGTACATAGGTGTTCAGCAGCCGCAAACGTACCAGGCCTCGGCCAGTACGCCCCTGACGAGTCAGCAGTGGAACATCTGCCCGGGTGTCACAAGAACACACTGGGACCACTCACCCACACTTTTTTGGGGGGGCGGGGTTGCCTGACCACCCCTGTGACCACCCCTGCAACCCTTGCAGGCCTAACCAGGAAGCTTGGGAAGAATTCGTTCAGATCTCTGGAGCAGGCCCGCCTCCACTGGGAAGGTTTTCTTAAGGATCTTCTGAGAGGAAGAAGAAGCATGTGTCAATCTCTGAGAGTGGAGAGGACCCCCGGGGTGGGGGTGGGGGGGAGGGTCCCTGGAAGGGCCTCTACAGGAAGGGAGGGAGGTCATGTATCTAGAGGCCTCTGGATTGGAGGATGAGCCGCCCTGTTGAAGTAGTCCCAGGGTTACTTACCTGGAGCCGCCTAAACTCCTCCCAGCTCCTGCGAACAGAGGAGTCACTGCAGTCTGACCAGCGCACGGAGAAGGCAAATGTCTGTGTGAGGAAAGCTTGAGGTGCCATCTCCCCTTCTGCCTCTTGGGGCAGGAGTGGAGGATGGGGTTGTGTGGTCCTACCTGGAGTCGCTCCATCTGCACCAGGGCTACCGCATGCGCTGATACTGGGTGTCTTGGACCTGCCATGATTGTGGCCTCCTGCTGGGTGCTTGAAGGGGCTCTGAGCAGCCGGAAGAAATGAAGTGGAATTTCCCAACACTGCCCGAAACCGAGTCCCTGCACAGCACTCACACCCGGAAACTTTTCAGTTTCCTGGTTGTTCTTCAAGCACAAAATCTAAGAGGATTCAGCACAGGAGGGCTGTGCTGGGGGAGGGGCAAGCTGCGGCAGGTGGGAGGAAAAAATGAAGTCCTTTGTACTGGACTGTTCTGAAACAACCCTGAGGGGTTGGAACTGCCGCCTGGGGCTCCTTTCCTCCCCTAGCCAAGGGAAGAAAGGAGGTAGGCAGCTCCACTACAAAGTGCCGCCTCCACCTCACCTGCCGGCTGCCTCTTACCCTGCCTGCTGAACTGTCGTCCCAGGCTGCGTGCGCCCAACAGCTTGGTTTTTGAATTCGCCTGTGGGGCTGTATGCTGTTGTCATCTGAATCAACTTTTTCACCCCTGGGGCCTTTCCGTTCAGCTGTGGGTTTTTACGGGGTGGGTTGGGGGGAGTGGGCTTTGAGACAAGAGTTTCAATAATTTGCAAAGGCTGGCTTTAAACTTGGGATATTCCTGCCTCAGGCCCCTGAGCAGCTAAGGCTCAAACCTGTGTAAAAAGGCCATGAAACCTCACCTCTTTCCTTGGCCAAGTCTTGATATGCCTTAAACAACATACAGGTTCTTACATACTGGCTATTTCAGAAACATTAGAAGACAGAAGCCAGCAACTGGAAAAGCCGTGAGTACCCACCCCTAGGGACCTAGAGGAACTGTGGACCCCTCTAACCACCCAACTGGCAGCCGCTGCCTGCCCCTACCAACCCTAGATGCCCTCCACTTATCCTCCATAGCCACTGCCTCCTCTCTTGTTCGAATCTTAGGTGATCTTTTAATAAAAACCCAGAGCCAGATATCAGGGTGAAAGCTGAAAGATCAGAGAAGCAGAACAGCCAGCCACAAGTTCTTACCTCTAAGAAATCCTCAGCCTAAAGAGAGTGAGTTCCTGTTTCCTCACACCTTATATACCTTTCTCTGTCCTACCATATTATTTCCTGGGATTAAAGGAATGAGCTCTCAAGTGCTGGGATTAAAGGTATGTGCCACCCACAGGAGATCACTTCCTAAATATAACACCAGCAGCACAGACACTGAGCACAACAATTAATAAATGGGACCTCTTGAAACTAAGAAGCTTTTGTAGGGCAAAAGACACGGTCAATAAGACAAAAAGACAGTCAACAGAATGGGAAAAGACCTTCACCAACCCCACATCTGACAGAGGACTGATCTCCAAAGTATATAAAGAACTCAAGAAACTAGATATCAAAATACTGAACAATCCAATTAAAAAATGGGCTAAAGAGCTAAACAGAGAATTCTCAAAAGAAGAATCACAAATGGCTGAAAGACATTTAAAGAAATGCTCAACATCCTTAATCATCAGAGAAATGCAAATCAAAATGACTCTGAGATGCCATCTTACACCTGTCAGAATGGCTATGATCAAAAACACTAATGACAGTCAATGTTGGAGAGGATGTGGAGCAAAGGGAACACTCCTCCACTGTTGGTGGGAATGCAAACTTGTACAACCACTGTGGAAATCAGTATGGCGGTTTCTCAGAAAATTGGGAATCAATCTACCTCAAGACCCAGCCATACCACTCTTGGGCATATACCCAAGAAATGCTCAATCATACACAAAGATACATGCTCAACTATGTTCATAGCAGCACTATTCGTAATAGCCAGAACCTAGAAACAACCTAGACACCCGTCAACTGAAGAACGGATTAAGAAAATGTGGTACATACACACAATGAAGTACTACTCAGCAGAGAAAAACAATGACATCATGAAATTTGCAGGCAAATGGATGGAACTAGAAAATATCATCCTGAGGGAGGTAACCCAAACCCAGGAGGACAAACATGGTATGTACTCACTCACTCATAAGTGGATACTAGATATAAAGCAAAGAACAATCAGACTGCAACCCACAGAACTAGGGAGGCTACATAGCAGGGGGGACCCTAGGATGACTGTGGCGTATAATAAGTTTTGGTTTTACTCAATCACTGGGCAAGCCTCAGTGAAACATTTCACTCTCACTATTAGGATAAGAATTTATACTGTATCAAGCTGATAATAGAAAAATAAATAAAAATAAATAAATAAAAATAAACAACAACAACTGTAGCTAGAGTTTTCCTGCCTGGCCCACAGTCAGGATAAATCTCTCTCACCTGCCAGTCCCACAGCCATCAGACCCAACCAAGTAAACACAGAGACTTATATTGGTTACAAACTGTATGGCTGTGGCAGGCTTCTTGCTAACTGTTCTTACAGCTTAAATTAATCCATTTCCATTAATTGATACCTTGCCACATGGCTCGTGGCTTATCGGCATCTTCACATGCTGTTTCTCATCATGGCGGCTGACAGTGTCTCTCTGATTCAGCCTTCCACTTCCCAGATTTATTCTCCTCCTTGTCCCACCTACACTTCCTGCCTAGCCAATGGCCAATCAGTGTTTTATTTATTGACCAATCAGCAACACATTTGCCATACAGAACATCCCACAGCAAACAACAAAAAAGATATGTGCCACCATTGCCTGGCTCTGTTCCTAGTGTGGCCTTGAACTCACAGAGATCCAGACTGATCTCTGCGTCCTGAATGCTAGAATTAAAGGTGTGTGCCACTACTGCCTGGCCTCTTTGTCTAATATAGTGGCTGGCTCTGTCCTCTGATCCTCAGACAAGTTTATTAGGGTACACAATATATCACCATACCTCTCACTTAGATGCACACAGAGGAGTCCCAACTCTGTGGCTAGTAAGAGGTTCCTCCCTGTCTCTTAAGAATCCACTCACAGAGCCGGGCGGTGGTGGCGCATGCCTTTAATCCCAGCACTCGGGAGGCAGAGGCAGGCGGATCTCTGTGAGTTCGAGGCCAGCCTGGTCTACAGAGCGAGATCCAGGAAAGGCGCAAAGCTACACAGAGAAACCCTGTCTCGAAAAACCAAAAAAAAAAAAAAAAAGAAAAAAAAAAAGAAAAATAATTGAAGCTGGTGGTGGCCCATGCCTTTAATCCCAGCACTGGGGAGGCAGAAGCAGGCAGATCTCTGTGAGTTAGAAGCCAGGCTAGTCTACAGAGTGAGTTCCAGGACAGCCAGGCTTGCTTCATAGAGAAACCTTGTCTCGAAAAACCAAAGGGGGAAAAAAAAAAGAAAAAGAAAAACAACTGAGTCTCAGTTAGCCCAGCTAGCTTAAATTCTTTTAACCTTAATGTTGGGAGGTGTGTTCACAGGTTTTGAAGTGCATCACAGCTGAGACAAAGCTTTGAAAGTAACTTAAAGTTAGACTAAGGTGTTTTTGTCAAAAGCTTTGAGGTGAAAAACTCAAGAAGACAATCTAAAGTTTTAGAAAGGCACATAGGTGAATGCAGAACTCTTTAAGGTCAGAGAACAAGAACAAAGCAGCCCAATTATTACTAGTTGACGCACTTTCCTTGCTAGGATTGGTTGATGACCAAAGGTGATGATTAATTCCTTATATTCATTTTGCCCTAGATCTCCTGACATTAAAAAAAACAAAAAAACAAAACAAAAAAACCCTATTGATGAGTGGGTATGTACCCTAAAGATTTAAAGTAGAGCTAATTGATTTTTTTCATATATAAAAGTTTAGGTTTATGATTCCTTTAAGATTCCTTATAAGATTACCTTTCAAGATAAGTAATAAAGTAATTGGCCTTTTCTTTGTAACTGCAAAACCGCAGCCTGCCAGTAAAAGACCTGACTGAGAATAATACTCTGCTTGCCCACATGGTTAATCTATAACAAGTTGCTTGGGTATGAATAATGATACTTTGTTTTTCACCTGTACTATGTAAAATGTTTAATCATGTAAGGGATATGGAAAACATGCTGTTTCTTACTGTTTGTTTTGTATTCATTATAATCATTCACTTGAAAAACAATGTAACCACATTGTAATTTTTATATTGCCTGAAAGATTTTGCTTAAGCTGTAAAGGAAAGAATAGAGTTAGAGAGAGTTAAAAAGGGGTAGAAGGAAAGCATCAAGAATGAGAGTTAGAAAGAAAACATCAAGAATGAGAGAAATGGCTTAGAGGTTAAGAGCACCGACTGCTCTTCCAGAGGTCCTGAATTCAATTCCCAGCACCCACATGGTGGCTCACAACCATCTGTAATGAGATCTGGCACCCTCTTCTGTATACATAATAAATAAATAAATCTTTAAAAAAAAGAGAGAAATCACCAGAAAAATAAAAAAAAAAAATAGAGAATGCAAGAGAAGGATAAAGAAAAGGTCTGAAGGAAACCATCAAGAGAGTATGTGAAGCTGGGCTGTGGTGGCGCACGCCTTTAATCCCAGCACTCGGGAGGCAGAGGCAGGCGGATCTCTGTGAGTTCGAGGCCAGCCTGGACTACCAAGTGAGTTCCAGGAAAGGCGCAAAGCTACACAGAGAAACCCTGTCTCGAAAAACCAAAAAAAGAGAGAGAGAGTATGTAAGTGTCTTTTTCCCTTAACCCTCTCAGATTAAAAAAAAAAATTAATACACTGACTTTGTGGGTTTCCCTTTGAGCCCTGAGCTGCTTGGAGGCTGGTCCTCCAGGCAGCGCTAAATGCACATAAGAATAAATAATTTTTTTTTTTAAAAGCTGGCAGTGGTGGTACACACCTTTAATCCCAGCACTTAAGAGGGAAGCAGAGGCAGCAGAATCTCTTGAGTTCAAAGTCAGCCTGGTCCTCAGAGCAAATTCCAGGACAGTCAAGGCTACACAGAAACTCTGTCTGGGGGTGGGGTGGGGTGGGAATCACTCACAAAATAGGAGAAACCTTGCAAAATAAAAATGGAATCAGGTCAAGATAGCTTTGCCCCAAATTGTCCAATGTCTCCCACTGCTTTTAGAACAAATCCCAATTTCTAGCATGGTCATTGGTGAGCCATTGCCCAACCCTGGATTCTGGCCTCCATCTACCTCCCAAAGCCCTGTCCCCAGTGGCCTTGGTGCTTCTGCAAAATACACATACTGAGAAGATTCTTCATCCTACAGGCCTGTGCCTAAGGGTCTCCAATTAAAGACAGCGATATTCCCACACCCTATACACGACTTTCACCAGTTTGTAGATAAAATTTATTCCCGTGACTGGGTTTTCCCCATCTTCACCGCTGGTCAAAGTCTAAAGAAGCCGGAGACAGAAGCTTGTTCCTTGTTCTGCTCAGTGACGGAAACAGCGCTTGGAGTAGAGTACCACTGTACAAATATTTGCAGAATGAATGAATGAACACACGGAGGAAGGGGAAGGACTTCGTCCTGTGATGGCCCAGGCTTTTAAGTCAAGCACTTGAGGAGGTGCTGGTGGTGGCAGAAGATTGAGGAATTCAGCGTCATCGTCACTTATCTTCATACAGCGTTCGAAGTTGGCCCAAGCTACATGAGACTTTGTCTCAAAAAAAAAAAAAGGGAATTCCTGAGGCTGAAATAATATTTTTATTATTATTAAATTATTATTATTATATATCATTATGCAATAATCTTTTTTTTTTTCCAGGTTATGGGATGGAGACGCGCCCGCAGGATTTACTCCGCAGTCTCTCCCAAGGTTGCTAGGTTCCAGGCCCCCAGTAACTGGGGCAAAGGTCGACCCTAGCCACGGGTGCCGTCTGGTCTGTGAGGCCACGCCCCGCGTTGCCAAGGCACCCAGAAGCGTGTGGGTGGACGAGTCCTACGGCAGAAAGGCCCAACCCTCGGCCGCCGGTAAGGGTCTGAGCCGAGCGATGGGGGCGACGCGAGAAGCATCTCGGACCTCGTCTCAGCCCGAGCTCTCAGCGGGGCCGCGGCGCACCTTGCACAACTCACTCCACTTCTTCTGGAGGAAGCCCGAGCCCCACCATGGACCACGCACGCCCGACCCGCGGCGGGCGGCCGGGCGCAAGGGTCCCGGCCGAGCCGGAGCCGCATCCCCCTATGCCGCCTCGGCCCGGGCCTCCCGCTCCGCCTCCTCCCGCGCCGAGGCCTCCCACTCCGCCGCGCCCGGGGCCGCCGCCTCGGCCTCCAGCCCCGCCCCGCCGCCAGGCTCCGCCTCCCGCCCCAGCGTGAGCCCAGCCCCGGGCCGCCTTTCCCGCTCCAGCCGCCGCGCGCTGGCCGTGGCGTGCGCGCTTGCCTGGCCAGCCTTCCGGCGGTCCTCTCGGCCCCGCCGTCAGTACGCCGGTAAGATGGCGGCGCCCAGCGAGCCCACGGACTTCCCTCGCAGCAGTGCCTTCTCCTTCCTGCCCCGCGGCGCGCGCTCCGACATGACCGACGACTTGGTGACTGACGCGCGGGGCCGTGGCACAGGGCATAGGGACGCCGCCGCCTCGGCCCCGGCCCCGGCCCCGGCGCCGCAAGGTTCGGAGCACGGGAAGCGGCCGTGCCGGGCCTGCGTGGACTTCAAGTCGTGGATGCGGACCCAGCAGAAGGTGCAGATGCCCCGCCTGACCGCCCGCCGGGTCCCCGGTTCCCCGCCCCACATCGGGTTCCCTCAGGGTTAACTATGCCTGAACATGTCCACCCCCTCACCCACACACACCGTTAGGCTCGAACTTTGAGCTTTCGGCTGCCGGATCGGTTTACTAGGCTGCCAACTGAAAAGGGGAGCATTCTTGTTTCCTTTATTTTTATTTTTTGGTGATACTGGGAATCCGGACCCAAAACCTCTCGCGTGCAACGCAAGCACTCTGCCACTGGGTTGGAATTTTGTGGGCTTTTGGTTGGGGAAGAGTGAACTGACCCTTGGTCGGCCTACTTCTGCAGCGGGACACCAAGTTTAGGGAGGACTGTCCACAGGATCGGGAGGAATTAGGTCGCCACACCTGGGCTTTCCTCCACACGCTGGCCGCCTATTACCCGGACATGCCCACCCCAGAACAGCAGCAAGATATGGCCCAGTTCATACATTTATTTTCCAAGTTTTACCCCTGCGAGGAGTGTGCGGAAGACATAAGGAAGAGGTGAGTGCTGAGGGGGGCCTGGCTGATGTCATAGAGAGGGACCCAGAAAAAATAGATACGGAAGTGACAGGTTGCTAGGAGAGGGATCACCAAAAGGGATGTTGGGTCATGGGAGCCTTCTCCTTCCTCCTCAAAAGCCCAGTTCTGTGGATCGTCAGCCTTAAGGTTTTTAGGAAGGTTTTCCCTGCCACTCCCTTTATTTATTCCTCATGGGCAGATTGGCTAAGAGTCCACATTGCCTAACTTCCCTAGTCCCTCAGCGTGCTTCCTGACTTTAGAAACGGGAAGGATAAACTACCACTCTCAATGGCCTAACCTATTCTTACGGGTATTTCTAGGTTGGACCTGTTGGGCAGTTAGTTGCACTTGCTCTCTGAAGCCTGGACAGTTAGGAATGAGGGGGATCTCACACTGAACTGGGCCCCTGGTGCTAAGAAACACTCTGTGCCAGGCCCCACCTGTCTAGACTCTGCCTGGGGCTAGAGACCATGGGGTGAGGCGCCCTGATTGTTACCAGGTTGTAAAGTTGCCTGCTTTAGTATATCTTACTCTGGGCTCTTGCCAATCAGATGAGTGAGCAGCCCTGGGAGTTGCCCAAGCCCAGGAAACTCCAGAGTCAACCCTGGGCTTTCTTGGCTTTCTCATCCCCTTGGAGCATCCCCAAGTGTAATTCATAGCCGTGCCCGGCTCCCTGTCCCCAGGCACTGGAAGGACAGAGGAGTCAACACTTACGTGCCTCCTGTGCTTCTCTCACTAAGGATAGGCAGGAACCAGCCAGACACCCGCACTCGGGTCTCCTTCAGCCAGTGGCTGTGCCGCCTGCACAATGAGGTGAATCGGAAGCTGGGCAAGCCTGCTTTTGACTGTTCAAGAGTAGATGAGCGATGGCGTGACGGCTGGAAGGACGGCTCCTGTGACTAGAAGATTGTCAGCAGAGCATGTGGGGCATCGAGCCAAGCTCCATGGGCAGCCGGCTAGAGAGGGACAGCCTGTTGATTAAAGTGTATCTGAGCCAAAGTTTGTTTGGGTGGTGGGGGGAGGGGTCCCTAGGACACTGCCAGTGGGAACCCTCCCCACAGGATTAAGAAATGCAGGTGCCCACTGCAGACACTTTGGTGGCCTCAGCTAAAGCCCCATGGGACCGGGACCGAAGATGAGAGAGGCAGTGGTCCAGGCGGCCTCATACCCTTTATAATGCAGCCTCAGCCTCTTGCCCATTACACACTTGGGACGTGGTTGCCCTGTAGGAAGATAGGCTAGACCATTGCCACCTACTGCATATCCAGGGGTGCCTACAGAATTGTGACCGAGGCCGCTCTGTGCCATTTCAGAATTGAAGTATGGTACTGAGCTGTCTATGCTATACTCTGTCCCCAGCTCTAGTAGGGTTCTTCTCTTAGGATGTACCCACCATACTGCCCACTGCCTGCCTGGCACATGATCTTCCACAGCTATGACATGCCTGTCAGCAGGTGATCCTGAACATCTGCTTCCTTAGAGTTTGAGACCAAAATAAAATGAAGTGACTTAGGGCCTGGTTTCTGTGTGTTTTGTACTGGGGTTTACAGCGATGGACAGGCCTGCTTTTGCTTTTCTGTGATTAGTTGGATGCTCTTGTCTGAAGTTCTGGCAGAAGCACTATGAAGCAGCTGAGACAAGCACTTCATGAAGAGTCAGAGAACCCCCCTGGTGAGAAAGAAGCTGAAGATGACTAGGGGGCTGTGGGATACAAATGGAGAGTGGCCAGTGTTGGCATCTGGTTATTTGTGTCTCGTTGGAATTCAGAATGCTGAGGGTGCATCCTCCAGTCGTTGGGCTCCTCTGGATCTGCTCAGCTCCATCTGTCCTTAGGCAAGGCTCCCAACCAGAGCATCCCAGCAGCAGTGGGTGCCCCAGTCCTCAGAGCATAAAGATACCATTCTTTCCGGTGTCAGACCTTTTGTGGGTAAGGACTAGCTTGGGCATGACTTCTTGTGCCTCCAGTGGAGCATTCATTTAAGAGCACTGGCTGTTCTTCCAGCACCCATGTAGTGACTCACAACCATCTGTAACTCCAGTCCCAGGAAATCCAACACCCTCTTCTGGCCTCCATGTGTACCTGGTACAGAAGTGCATACAGGCCAAACAATCAAAACACAGAGATCCACCTGCCTCCACCTCCTGAGTGATGGGATTAAAGGCGTGTGATACCACTTCTGGTTCAAAACACATTACAAAAAAAAAAGCAAGGTGTGGTAACACATCCCTTTACCTACCTTTAGCCCTAGTACTCAGGATCTCTGAGGTTTGAGGCCAGCTTGGCCTACATACTGAGTTCCAGATCAGCCAAGGCTACACAGAGAAACCTTGTCTTGGCTGTTCTTTTTTTTTCTTTTTAAATTTATTTATTTTTATTTTATGTGTATTGGTATTTTACCTGCACATATGTCTGTGTGAGGGTGACAGATCCCTTGGAACCAGAGTTACAGCCAGTTGTGAGCTGCTATGTGGTTGCTGGGAATTGAACGCGTGTCCTCTGGAAGAACAGCCAGTGCTCTTAACCTCTGAGCCATCTCTCTAGCCCATTGGCTGTTCTTAAAACGAGAGGGAAAACCAATAACTCAATACATTTTTAAAAAAAATCAAAGCTTCATATTGTTCCTGTTCAGGGCATCCAGGTCAAGACAAGTGGAACTGTAGTGTAAAGGAAGGTTGTGGTTTGAGCTGGCATGGGGAGCTGTCATCACGTACAGAGTAAAAGAGGCAGCACAAAGGAGTAGGGATCCAGCATGGTGGCACACACCTTTTTTTGTTGTTTTGGTTTTTCCAGACAGGGTTTCTCTGTGTAACATCCCTGGCTGTCCTGGAACTCACAAAGTCTGACTACCTGAGTGTGACCCTCAAAACCCAAGGTGGAAAGAGGGAACTGATTGTCCTCTGATCTCCACCCAGTAACTGGCATGTGCAATCCAGCGCGCGCACGCGCACGCGCGCGCACGCACACACACACACACACACACACACACACACAAAAACAATGAAACAATAAACAGGCTGGGTGGTGGTGGCGCACACCTTTAATCCCAGCACTCGGGAGGCAGAGGCAGGCAGATCTCTGTGAGTTCAAGGCCAGCCTGATCTACAGAGCAAGTTCCAGGACAGTGGTATGGGGAGATGTTTGCTGTGCTTTTGTGATCATGAGGACCTGAGTGTAGATCTCCAGCACCTACATAGCTTAGACTAGGCTGGCCTTGAACTCACAGAGATCTGCCTGCCTCTGCCTCCCTTGTGCTGGGACTAAAGGCGTGCACCACCACTCCCCGGCTTGGTGGCACACACCTTTAATCCCAGCACTACATAGAGATCCTGTCAAAAACAGAGGGAGAAAGGTCCTAGGGACTCTCAAACCCATAGGTCTGGCAAATGGAAGGACAGGAAAGGCACTTTTGGAACTCACCAAGATCCACCTGCCTCTGCCTCCCGAGCAGGAAAAGCACTTTGAAGAGGCTCATGATGGCTAGGGACTTAGCTCAGAGGGAAAATGCTTGCCTGGCATGCATAATACCCTGGGTTCTATTCCCAGCAATGGGGAAATAAAAAGGCTATGAGGTAGACATTAGAGGTGTAAGCTGTATGGATGAGCCAGGAGAATCCAGCTTGATTCTGAAATGGCAGGTGGAGGTACTGGCTAGATGCAGGGTAGGGGCTTGATTTATACTGGGGGATCTGAGGGAAAAGGGGGAAGGAAAGGTGCTAGAAATAAGTGGGTAACAGCTTGAATTTGCTGCTAAGGGGAACAGAAGTGAGACCAAAAGCTGTTTGTTTGGTGATGCTGGGAATTGACTCTAAGAGCCCATGCATGGTCAGGCATTCTGTCACTGGGCTATATACTCAGCCCAAGGACTGTTTTTCAAAAAGTGCTGCATTTTTGGAGTACTGATGAAAATGATGGAGGAAAAGGGGGAAATAGGTGGTAGCACAGATCTGCCCATGGCTAAAAGGGAATGGGGTGGGATTAGGTATCAGGGAGTTGACCAAACTGGTGGGCTGCGCCTGCTCTGGTCACCTGTTTCCAACTAGGCTGAAGAGTGTTTTGGACCAGAACCAATGGGTTTCCTAGGGACCGGACCAGGTACTTCCAGCTACACTTCCCTCTGAAGAATGAACAACAGGTCACAGTAAAATGCTTGGCACTGTAAACTTTGCTTATACCTGGCTTTGGTCCCAGGGAAGACAGAGACAGAAAACTAGAGGCCTCACCCATGATCTTTTACTATGCTCAGCTTCTACTGTGACCATGAAGGTAGAGCTATTCAGTCTCCTACCAGCCTGGCACTGAAGGAGCATGAAGTGGGCCTGTGGAATTCCCAGCAGTGGCCAGGGTAGCTGGGTAACATCTGGGACAAGATCTTATCTCTGCGCCAGTAGGTGGTGGCACACTCCTTTAATCCCAGCACTTGGGAGGCAGAGCCAGGTGGATCTCTATGAGTTCGAGGCCAGCCTGGTCTACAGAGTGAGTTCCAGGAAAGGCGCAAAGCTACACAGAGAAACCCTGTCTTAAAAAACCAAAAGGAAGCCGGGCGGTGGTGGCGCACACCTTTAATCCCAGCACTTGGGAGGCAGAGCCAGGTGGATCTCTGTGAGTTCGAGGCCAGCCTGGGCTACCAAGTGAGTTCCAGGGAGGCGCAAAGCTGCACAGAGAAACCCTGTCTCGAAAAACAAAAAAACAAAAACAAAAACAAAAAAAAACCAAAAGGAGGCTAAGATCTTATCTCTGCCATTTCTCCCCTCCTTGAACTCAGGATTAAATAGCTACAGATCAGCCCTAGAGACCAGAGATGGAGAGAGCTCATGGAAGACATGACCCGGCCAGAGGAAGAGAACAGAGATGTTCAGCCTTCACTCCTGCTGGCCACATGGACTCTGCCTCCCAGACAAGTGCCCCTGCAGGTAGCCGCCGCCACTCTTCACCTACCCTGTTAGGAAGGTACAACCTGTGAAGGGGAAGCCAGAATACAGTGGAGATGTGAGCCACAGGCAATACAAGTGTGTATCACATCTCTGAGCTGAGATTTTCTTCATTCTCAGCCAAAAAGAGGTCAGGGGCTTCTTTCCTTACATGTTTTTTTTTATTTCTATCATGATTAAAGGGCTAATGAGAAGTGATTTACCCCTGGTCTTCTGAGACTAGGGTCTGGGGGCTGATTCTCTCTTCCTGAAGGCAAAGGGCAAGATGCTAGGCCTCAGTTTCCCCTTACACACTCACCAAAAGGCCCTCCTGGTCAGAGAAGCGGGGTGATGTGCTTGTCCTTCTGTCGATGCTCTTGGTCGCGGCAAAATCTGAGCTCAGTCCTTACCTTCTCTTGCCCACCTCTAAAACCCATGAAGACCTCGCTTTGTCTTTGCAGAGAATGTCCCCATCTCAGACTCTGTCATGCAGGGGACTGTGAGAGGAATGGACGGAGGGCAGGGCTCAGGACCCCGGCGCGTGGACCCAGTCGGGGGCGCTGGCTCGGCCCCGCCCCGCGCGCCCCCGCCGCAGCCGACGCGCGCTCCCGGGAGGCGGCGGCAGCGGCAGCATCCGTAGCATCAGCAGCCTCAGCAGCAGCCCCGGGAGGTCTCGGGCAGGGCAGGCCGGCGGGACAAACGGACAGAAGGCACAGGTCCCGCCATGGAGGGAGCCTCCTTCGGCGCGGGCCGTGCGGGAGCTGCCTTCGATCCCGTGAGCTTCGCACGGCGGCCCCAGACCCTGTTGCGGGTCGTGTCCTGGGTGAGTGGCCCTTAAGCAGGCCCCTTTCCGGTCCCCCATCTCTCCTAGCATCCCCGACTCCCACCCTCACCCGCCCCCTGCCCATCGCCCCTCACCCTCCTCTCCGCCGGCCCCTCCCCCCCGACCGCAGGTTGGGGTGACGTCACATGGCTAGGCGCGCCCACCTGCGGGCGGGGGAAGGGCGACTG